TACTGTTTCGACCTCCGAAACCAGTTTTTAAACCAAATATTGGTTTGCAGAAACGGCGGACCTATAATATGGTTCCTAACTATGTCTTACCCTTGCTTGAACACGTTTTCTCCACTGCGCATGCTCAGTCGGTTTCAAACCGTTGGAAATGTGATGCCTGAACGTTACCTTGGTCATACCTTGCATTCGCCTAGAGACGGACGAAAAACGTCCATGTCAAGTCCAAGCATGGGCAGCACCCAACTAACAATTATCACTCCTATTAGAGTTGCAATAATGATTATACAGTATTCCTTACACAGCATTGTATACTGAAAGAACATTGGCAAAACCCTCTTAGAACACCTATACAAGCAGAATGGGCACACCTAATAGGACACATCAGTCATTTAAGAGGTTGTATATACAACAAAAGTGTAAGCCTCTTGCAGCCGCTATAGGACATTTGCGTCAGTGCAAGATTCAGTTCTTGTCAACTATACAACTATTCTGTTACGTGATTCTACCTTATTGCAACCAAAATATTTCTTATGTATTGTATAGACGAAGTGAAGAATATATAACTAACACATTACAGTCATCTTGTTTACCTACATATCGGCCATTGTGAATTTCATACACAGGTATATGATAAATTTCTACACTGTGGTATAGGGCTATTGAATTACTTGCGCAGCAAATTTTATTGTGATTATCGTGGTAAGTAGTTACGCTTTTTGTATGGGCTTCACATTGGATTCATATTTTGATAATGATGAAAAGTATGCCTAGATTTTTAAGATGGAGAACTGAACTTATCTGCGTTAAATCTTCCACAAATCCTATATTTAGACACAATTACACTAATGTTTATCACTTTATACCTGTAATTTCGAACTGAAATATAATTATTTAATATTAAATAGAGGAATACATGTTTGCCCAATATGGCGGGTGTTTGTGTATAATCATGGCATCGTCCATGTTGTCTTTAGTTTATTAGAATATTTTGGTGTTGCCTGCAGGTGTTATACAACAATTTGACAAATGTCTGAAATGAAATACCGACAGAGTCGAATGATTTACCCAGAATTTGTACCAGATCTATATCTTCTGTTTGAACAGTTGATAAAACCTTTTGAACCAATATGCATACGTTGTTTGTCTTAAAACATTGGTTATGACATTTTAACAAAAATATGACAGCAGAAAGTTAGGTTATGGTGAAGTTGTATACCAACATATTTAGCATATGTATAGCCTTTAACAGTTACTAAACAACAGTTGTATAAGTGCTTCCGTTGGGAGCATTTTGTTGGCTAAAGTAGTAAATTGCACAGCAAAACAACAAGGCTCCGGTTTGTTTTATAAACGTTACCATGGATGCCACAACACAACCATTTTGACTAACGTGCAAATATGCCGTATAAAATAGTTGTATAAACGTTTATGCAACAGTTAAAAACTTGCCCTATAACGTGTTGTATAACTATGCTATACGAATATTTTAAACACCTCATTTTAGAGCAAATATGTTGCAGAAAGCAAATTTGCATTCCACACAACATTAAGCCAGAATTTTGGTCTTCAGGCAACAACAATAGAGAGCTTTTATGGCTGAACGGGTCTTTTACCAAAAGCTTATAACACTACTTTGCTAGTTGGGCAGCGGTTGCCGTAGTAGTAGACTCTTCGTTCTCCTGATCAGTTGCCGTGCGCTGAGCGGGTTCGAATCCCATCCCAAGAGAAATTTTTTTCTTGGCTATGAATGTGGTGATTGTCCGTAGGTGGTAGACGGTCTCCGACTGTCCTTCGTGGAAGTTGGGATATAAAAAAAAGTGCTTGTATAGCACATGGCCAGACAATGGAATAAATGCTTGAACCTTCGATTCATACAGATTTGCTAAACAAAAATGGTGGATTCTAAGGCAACTATTGTACGTCATGCCCTAAAAGCTTTGCCATGAGTAGAGAAAATTAATCTGATTTACTAGGTATCAATAAACAAGTGTCCGAAAGGTGCAGATAGCCCCTCGGGGCTTAGCACGGCAGAATATTATTGTTACACACCCAAATTCCAGGACACTGCGACTGCTATGAGGAACCCAAAGAAAATTTGTTAAATGATTTTTTAACTGCCTAAGGTTAATATAACTGAGAGAAGCCTCCTCTTGTAGATTGTTTTACAATCTCTGCACCCTAGGGACAAGGGAGCGGTCATATCGATCAGTTCTAGGTGTACGAAGCTCGACTAGGTTAGGACGGGTGACGGAAGTCAGGTGTAGCGGTAAAAGATTGCCGCTGGTACAAAAGGGTCGGGAGACCGTCTGTTAGAGAAGATTCATCCTTTTTAATAAACAAATCCCAGAAATCCTGGTAAATTGTTATAAATCACCATAATATAAACCATTCTAGATCACTGATTAATGACCGTGAATTATTCATAAATCACAGTAAATCCTTGTAATTCCTAGTAAATACTTGTAAAATAAATCCCTGTAATTCTTTCAGGCAGTAGACCATAGAGCATCAGATGCTTACCTCTCGGTTTGTAATGACTCACTCAAAACTATACTAAGTGACATATAAATCCGAACACCCAGTTTAAATGGTTTTATTTTAATAAAATATTGTATAAGTACTTAATGAAGCATAATAAGTAGATGATAAAAATTTCAAAATGCTTTAAAGCCCTTTGACCTTTAATAATGTGTAGATGCACCCTGATGTGCTACGCATTCTCCAACGCGCCTAGGCATGCTTCTGATCAGATGGTCAATGTCCTCCTGTGGTATCTCATTCCACGCAACCACCAACTCCTCTCGAAGTGCTTCTAGAGTCTGAGGAGGACGTTGCAAATTGAGCAATCTCCTACCCATCATATCCCACACGTGCTCAATTGGGGATAAGTCGGGAGATCTTGGTGGCCATGGTAACAACGTGACATCATTATGTTGAAAGAAGTCTATTGTGACTCTTGCAACATGTGGTCGGGCATTATCTTGTTGGAAAGTTGGATCTGCCAGGGTGTCAAGATAGGTTAAAAGATGGGGTTCTAGAACTTCGTGGATATAACGCTGCGCGTTCATGTTTCCTCTGATGAAGATTAAAGGTGACCTGGAGCCATAAGCTATAGCACCCCAAACCATAACTCCAACAGTGTGATGAACATGTCTTTCAACAAAAAACTGTAGATTCCTCCTTTCACCACGTCGCCTTCTAACCCTGACACGACCATCGTGCATGCCTAAACAATATCGAGACTCGTCACTAAAGACAATACTGTTCCATTCCTGATCCCAGAGTGACCGTTGTATGCACCACTCAAGGCGATTACGTCGGTGTTCTCGAGTTAAAGGGAGGACCCAGTGTGGCCGGTATGAAAACAAGCCAAAAATTCTCATTCGTCGGTAAACAGTTCGCATGCCAATAGGTCTTCCGTGTTCTGCAAACCATTCATTTGCAATGGACCTGGTAGTGGAGAAACGGTCCCTTAAGGCCAATAATCTTAGGCGGCGATCTTCACGGTCTGTTGTTCTACGGCGGCGTCCAGCGCCCCTTGCTCTTTGCGTACGGCCTTCTCGAAGCCATGCCTGACAACACCTAACCACAGTGTCTACACTTCTTTGCACTCTAACTGCAATTGCCCGAAAAGAAAGTCCAGCTTCCCGAAGTCCCACTATACGGCCCCTATCAAACTCACTAAGTTGACGAAATGGTACAGGTCTCCGTATTCTAGGCATCGTAACCGATCGTAAAGGATGTCAAGAACCAAAATCCGCCAACGTTGATTCTTTACTGCGGCTGAAATATTCATTTTTAGAGCGTTAGTGAATTAAAAAAAAGCAGTATAAAAACCGGAATGTCCAACTGATAAGGCTGAAAATTTTTTCACTTGTTATTTACAGTAAGATAAATACATTCACCAACTTTTATTAAAATAAAACCATTTAAACTGGGTGTTCGGATTTATATGTCACTTAGTATATTTAATTATTTATACTGGCAATATTAAAATGTTTTTTCAATTAAAACTAACTATTTATTTATACTGGGAATAATAAAATGATTGATTTCAATTTCGTAAGGGAAACGCATTTTTTAATTTTTTTCTTTTTATGTGATTCAATGCAAACTTGATTGATTTATACGAAAAAACTGTCTCAAATTATTCGGATCTTGTGAATAACGAACATGAATTCGAACACTATTTCGTCAATACCTTTGTTTACACCACGGTTAGCTAATTCTGAATAGAATGTTTGCTTTGCTTTTCCGACACTGAGCTTATCAGCAGTACCTATTTTTACTTGTTTGCTTTGCCTTTCGTTGGCTGTCTGCGATGACTATCCCTAGCCAGAGACAGAAAGGAAACAGATTCTATCTAGCCTGTTTATACTTTTATGTTTTTAAAACGTCGAAGCTGTGGCATACATTGAAGCGGACTATCAATCAGAGATACCGGGAAACTATGCAATTTCCTGCTACCGACGTTGTAGTCGGTAGTAACACATTTGGGATTGAATGAAATTTCTTAAAACTGCCACAATCGAAATCCGGAAATTTCGTTAAAAACGAATAAAACATAAAACCTTCGTCAAGTAAGGTAAGTTGTTTCAAACATTTCGTACAAATGTTTAGTAGTAGACCCTATAGACGGCATTATATAAATGGTGATAAAAAAGTTTGCAAATGCAATCTTATGAACCCTACTAAGGTCCAAAAACGATTAAGTTGTAAATATCTGATGAATATCGTATTTTCCACCTTTTTTAATATCACTCCTATAATCTACAATCCAAAAATAAAGGGGATACACAATACCTCTATTCTTGTTGCTAAAATTTCTCAAAAACTGTTTGCTAGCATGGAGAAAGAGATCAAAAAGAGAGCTCAAAATATCTCGAAGAATGAGGAAATGATGCTAATATCATTGGTGAGCAAAAGTAAAGATGTAATAGAGAGCAAAACAAGTGGCACAGTTACGTGGAAACAGAAAGGTTCAGTATGAGAATTCCAAGCCCTAACAGGGGCCATCGAGAGACAAAAACTCTACGAGATAAATATTTCAATTTAAGGAAAAAAAGAAAAAGCAAATTTGCTACAAACAAAACCAATATAATCATCATCATGCCAATTGCAAGCATTAGATCGGATTGATACACAAATACAAGATATAATGGGACCACAATTAGAAGGTTTGACAAACAATTATGATGATAAGTGTAGTGACCAAGATGAGGTTGTTTCTGAACATGGTAAGTCTCATTGCTGTTGATTGAAACATTTTTTTTAATTATTCATTTTTTAGTTCCTTATGCAAATAACTGTGATGACAGTGAAGTGGTCTTCAATAATGGGCAATGGAGCTCCTATACTCCCCAACCACTGAAGAGGCCCAAAACTACAAAACGAAAACGGTACAAAATAAAAAATATATTTCTGTTAACTACTAATGGAAGAAAAGCTGACTTTTTTGAAACTACAAAAAGAAAAATTCATCGAAGAGCACAATAAAAAAATGGAAATATATCAAAAAAAAAGGTTCAGCTGTTAGATTTACAGATCAATGCATTCGATAAGTAGAAAATAAAGGATTTATTTTGTTAATTTCTGGAATATTTTCACTTGCACTCATTTATTTTTGTATTTCGCATTTTTTTAATTATTAATATGGTAAGTTCTAACATTGTTGATTGCATTTTGTGGCAACCTAATATTTACAGGATCTGTCTTCACGTTATCTACATGAACCATGTAAATAGCATTTTCCTGTTCAGGACTAATAAGGGCATAGCTTCATTATTAGGACAAGCAATGTTATGTAGCACTGCTGTTCCTAGAGTAACTAATTGAGCTGTATCTAGATGAACTCTGAGACCCATAGCTAGACATGGAAATCTTCTTTTCTAAACTCATAGCTTCTCTCTAAAACATTGCGACTACGAATGATTGATTCATTGTATAATTCTTCAGCAGGAGTTGTAGTTGTATTCAATGGTGTCATCAAATAGCATTTAATAGGATAACCTTTGTCACCAGCCAACAAAGAGTTTCCAAAGTGACCTGATTCAAATTGTCTGCAGAGCTGAGAATTTCCGAAAATGTATGAATCTGCGTCAGAAACAGTTCGATTTCTGAAGAGCTCTGCTTGGCTTCCTCCGGGAGAAACAATTTTTATATGCGTGCAGTCAATTGCACCTATGCATCGAGGAAACCTAGCTATATTATTTATAAAAGGATTACTTTGCCCTGGCAAGAGCCTCAAGAGTGTCCAGCATTTTTATGTGATTACTTCTTTTACTCGTTAATACTTTTAAGAATCTTCGGACTGTTTTGGATGCAGTTGATTTGGAAACCCCAGCAAAATTTCCAGCAACAGTTAAAAAACTTCCATTGTGCAGTGCTAACAACAGCTGCTGTTAGAGCGTTAAGCAGTTATTCCTGGAATGACAAAGTCCTTGAAAAATATGGAAATAAACAATAATATATACATCTACCTGCTTGCAGGATATACTAAATCTTCATAGACTTCGTCCAGGAGAGTTTCTACAGTCCTTTTTGTAAGACGAAATCTTGCAAGGAAATCGTCACTGCTATACGCATTCACGTCATAATTCATAAACATGTTTATAGCTTAAATTAATCGATAGATTGATATGGATTTGTATGGATTTTTTGAATAAACGTCAAAGTTTATGTGAAAAACCGTCAGGTATTGCTATTTAACTACAGCTTTTCTAGATAACTCATAGATGGTCTTCTGGTTTTACTATAAACATGATATTGAAAAACGCTTTTTCATAAATAACTATAAGTTAAGACCAAGGTAGTAGTTAACCTGCGATTGAAAAACCGGGCCTTAGTGACTTAGTGTAACTCAAACAGATACGGTGTAAGTGTCGTGGACATATCGTAAAATTTACCATTTCATAAAATGAGTATTTCATGGAGTGGTCGCATTTCATCATGCGATGCATCATTATCTATAGGCGAGATCACGATGTGTGTTGACCAGATAAATGAAAACAAATCGCTTAACCATGTAGTCAACTATAATAATAATAATAAATAATTTTTATTTCAAAATAACAGTGCACAATTACAACGTAATGTCCGCTGTCAGGTGAAATATACGTCACATAATGCCGTAATAGCAAACAAATGCCAGAAACAAAAATAGTGTCTAAATATTACAATATTACACAATGTTTTTTTCACAGTTCTAGATATTCATCGAGCCCGTATGGCTCTAGATTGATTGGTAACTGGTGAATACATTTCTTGAACTCTTTTATATACGACAGCTCTTTAACTTCCTGGGGTAACTTATTGTGAAGCATTGCACAACTGAAAACTAAAGCACGCGGCTACTTCATGAAATGGCCAAGCATGTTTGATTAAATCGTAAAATAATTACATTAGGTTAGTTAGCGATAGAAGTTCTGGTAGCGCTTGGTTTTCCAATTTCAATTAACATGGCAGTCGTTAGTATCAAAGTTGTTTTACGAAGTGAAAATTCGAATAACTATAAAAAGGTACTCGGGTTCTCGGGTACTACAGGTATATGTGTCACACAAGTAACGGTCAAAGCGTCAAATCATTCATTTATTTTAAGTCAGAATCGTGCACCACTCACAACACTGTGTTTGTCTATTATTCTACGTATCTGAAACTCACACTTTTATTTCATTTTTAGGTTGTGGGTAAGTCAAATAAAGCATTGTAGGTTGACCACGCGCGAGTGATATGTTCAGTTATTTTATTTGTGACACGTCGGGCAATTTAACAATGTCCAAATATCAGTATTTGATTTTAACTTCTTAAAGCTTCTAGTGAGGTGGTCATATTGAGTTATCCATCATGAAATTCTCGATTATTTCATGAAATAGTCAATTGCGATACAGCCAAGTAAAAGGCATGAATAGTGATTCGTTTCTACGCAGAACATCGATACCCTTTTCGATGTGCCCATCTCTAGCAACATGTCATACATCGTATTCGGATAATTGATGGAAAGCTCTCGTCCCATCGTCACTTTTCCATTTTTATGTCATCCGTTTTAGCCGATGGCAGAACGACGTGACGGTGTGAATTTCCATTCGGATCATTTATAACTCGTGACAGACAACTGTCAGGTGCGTAGCAGATGTCATTTGTTTTGTTACGGCATAGCGCGCGACGGAACCTCATGGGCGGCGGATTTATAAGGTTTCGGCAAAATACATTACTGTTAACATACACTTACGCCTGGTTTTCCAATCATAGATTCAAGTAAAGTGTTTTAAAAATCGGAGCCAAATTATACTAATTAAACTTGTTAGCTGTCACATATATGATTAAAGTTTTAGTTCGGTTTGATTAATTTTTTTTCCTCAGTGCAGGGTTACGGTCAATATAATAATAATAATGAACGGCTTTATTGGCGGAGTTTAGCACAGCTATTCTTACACCTTTCTAAATACTAAAGCTTAATGCTAATTTGACATACAAATATGGTATTTTACTAACTAAAAAAAGAAAATAATGGTAATTGATCACAGGGCATTTATTCATTGATCCTATGCTGAATTCCTGGAAGATGTTTTCTGAGATGCAGTTTGAAGCGGATGTTATTAGTATTTGATATATTCCTGCTATAGTTAAAGAGAGACACTGCATTATACGTGAAAGATCTATAAAAGAGTGATGTTTCGTACATAGGGATTGTAAAGTGATTTTTGATGTCTTATATTGACATTATGTATACTTGACCTAGGGACCAGTTTTTCTACTAAACATACAGGATTATTAGAATATAATACACAATTCCTGGTTGTTAGGTAAAAATAAATGAACAAAGAATTGATATTGAGCTATTGTAAAAGCCTGAAACTATTAGATATGTGGTCAAATTTTCGTAAGTTACAGACAAAACGGCAACAGTTATTCTGCAATCTCTGCAGGCGCATTTGAGTCGAATAGTCCAGGCATGGATAGAAACTGTCAAACCACAACTGATAATTGATAGCACTAAACTTTCAGCCAGCTTTTCCCTCGTCTTGAAGTTAATTATTGGCATTCAGTACTCGCAGTTCAAATAACACGTCTGAGATGTTGTTTTAATGTATTGTTGGTAACGTGACATCCATGACCAAACCAAGTATCTTACAGCTAGTTGAAAAATAAACTTGTTATTCATTCAAGAAGAGCGTCAGACCACTGCACAAGTTTTCTCGCTTGCGATAAGAACAGAAATGCACAAGTTTCGTTTTATCAGGATTTAGTTTCAAATTGTGTTCTTTACAATTGTCAGACACTGTTCGTAAGTCAGTGTTGATTAAATCATTTGCCTGTTCCACAAGAGCTGGTTCAAAATGAAACAGAAGCTGCGTGCCATCAGCATAAGATTGAATGTGTGAGTACTGTACGGATTTCAAGATATCAGCTGTGTATACAACGGTCCTAAAACAGAACCTTGAGGAACTCCTGATGTTGCGGTTGTTATCTCAGATCTTTTGTTATGTAGAATAACGCTTTGCTGACGAAGACTTAATTAATTGCAAAATAAGTTCAACGCTGTATGGTCAAGGCCATAATGATACAGTTTTGCGCACATAAGTAAGTGGTCAGTGGTGTCAAAGGCTTTTGAAAAATTCAAGAATGTAAGTAGAGTGACAAGCCTCTTATCTAGCGATCGTATAATTCCATCATTAAGATTTAAAAGAGCAGTGGTTGTATCATGCCGAGATATCAGAGACCAGGGGACCAATTCATGTATACTCCAAATTTTGGATAGGAGGAGAACTGATCATTTCCGATCAGATAGTGATAAATGCTTTGTTGGCAAGTTAACTATTTTTTTCCGTAACAACTATATTTTTCTAAATCTGAATGCAATTTTGCATTGTCAATAACATACCATCTTAATTGCTGCTCCTTCGTTAATATTTGAAATGTTTGTTCCCCATCTAGCTTATTTATGATGATAAAAGTCTGGAAACGGTCCAACATCTCGGCAGGTATTGGTCCGATATTCGTTTAATTTGAAACAAGAATTCGCGTTATGGTCCAGAAAATAGCAAGCACATTGTTGCCAGGTCTACTACTTAGAAATAATCCTACTTTTCCAAGTTTGAATGTAGCAATTTTTTTTATTAGTGGATATTAGAACCTTGCGTCCATTGCAAGTTTTGAAAATCTGTTTAGTGGCGGTAGAGATACTGTAAAAAAACCGAAGAGATTAAAGCCGCTTCATTTTTTGACGTTCCGGGCGTTGTTTGCAATATTTGTGTAATAAAAGACGTGTGACGGTAAATGCACAATTGTAATACAGAAAAAAAAGTAAATTTGCGTCAGGTTTATTTTGGCAGACTATCTAAAATCATGCTTTTAGAAACGATATGCCCAAAATGATCCCATAATCTGCTGTCCATAGACTAAAATATAACGAAGCGTTGTTTGTGTATGTGATACAGTACTACTAGTATATATCTCTTCCTATGAAACTAACACTGACTTTTATGTACAAAATATTATACATTTATAAGGTAAACTTGCTTCTAATACAACCATATTTTTAAGCTTCATTCAAAATTTCAATATAAATAATTAATACTCATACATATTTGACAGTTATCCATTAAATTGTCTGATTGTGTTTAAAGGTCCGTCAAATATCGACCTTTGCTAAATGGAGCTTCAGTCTACCAATGTAACTCGATTTCGACTTTCTTGTTGATTTGCTGGTTAAGTCATTCTCATGTGTGATGACCAAGGTCCGGATTTTATGTGGTATAAAACTGCAAAATATGTTTGTTTTATGCTGTAAAAAATAGATGAAATATGGATTTTATATGTGGAAAAACTGAAACATAAATCTGCGAACACAAAAAATAAACGCTTATATTATTATTATTATAATAATTGAGATGAGCAGAGTACACAGTACTATAAGCTCATGCAGTAAATATAGTGTACGAACACGTAACACAAATACATCAAATAGAAAAAAATAAAAAAAGACAGTTCATAGCTATAAAGTTTGTACACTCCTCCAGCTATCATACTGCACTTTGAAGCTATTAACTGAAGTAGCACCAACCACACTTTCAGGTAAACTATTCCAGGTGTTGAATATGCGGTTGGGAAGAAACCACTGTCGGACTGTTGTTTTAAATGGCTCCTTATGCAGTTTGAAGCTGTGTCCGCGTAGATTGCTGCGCGACAGACGGTATAGATGCATGAGGTTGGTGCCCATCAAACCATGAAGTATCCTGAACGTAACTATAAGATCGCCACGAAGTCTTCGCTCACAGAATGAGGTCAGGTTGAATAATTCAAGGCGATCTTCATAGCTTGGTCTTCGTGCTCCAAAAGGGTTACGAGTAGCCCGACGCTGTACTGATTCGACGAGATTTCTATCGCGCAGAAGCACAGTGTCCCATACCGGGCCAGCCAATTCAAGAATTGGCCTCACGAATGCCTTGTAAATGTAGGCGCAAGTGT